TGACCATCGGGTTATTGATTATCTCCCTGACTAAGGCCCTTCTACCCCAATCACTCAGCTTAGATGGCTGGCCTACTTTAGGAAGAGTCCTGGTGGTTCCAAACATCTTCCACTTACAGATGATGGAGGCCACTGTGCTCAGAGGAACTGTCAGAGCTGCAGAAATTTTTCTGTAACCTTCCCCAGCCTTGTGCCTTGAGACAATCCTGTATCGGAGGTCTTCAGAGAATTCCTTTGTCTTCATGCTTGGTTTGTGCTTTGACATGCACTGTCAACCCTGGAAACTTATATAGACAGGTTTATGCCTTTTCAAATAATGTCCAATCAGCTGAATTTACCACAGGTAAACTCCAATTAAGCTGCTGAAATATCTCAAGAATGATCAGCGGAAACAGAATGTACCTGAGCTCAATTTAGAGCTTCATGGCAAAGGCTGTAAATACTTCTGTACATGTAATTTTTCCGCTATTTTATTTTTATTATATTTGCAACAATTTCAAAAACTCTTTTTCACATTGTCATTATGGTTTATTGTGTGTAGAATTTCAAGGAAATAAATGAATTTATTCCATTTTGGAATAAGACTGTGACATTAAAAATGTGGAAAAAGTGAAGCACTATGAGAACTTTCTGGATGCACTATATATAAAGAGTTCAGATGCAAAAACCTCTGAAAGTGAAATTTTCAAATGGCATTTAGAGGTTTTTGCACCGAAACTCCACACACACACACACACGCACACACACACTGTTGACTTAAACATTTTTAACACAAAATGCAGAGTTACTTAAACATTTAAGCCAATTATTTTTCAACATGAGAAGAATTTTTGAGAATTTTCCAAATGTAGTTAATTTAGACTTTTGATTTAAAGGTTATTTATAATCAATCAATCCACAATAAAGCATTTTGGACATATTTCGAACATGAAATGTGGTTTTCAGTATGCAGCACATGAATGTTCAGAAATGTAAAGTAGACCAAAGATGTAAATAGCAACTTAGTAAGTTCATCATAATTTCAGCAGACATGTCTAAATTTCTGCCATGAATGTGAGTGATTTAAAGTCAGTTTGTCACCTCTTCTGGTATGTATTTGGTTTTGTCTCCTGGGCAAGACACGGATGCATTAAGCTTTGAATCCATCATGTAAAACAAGATTTTTTCATTGTTTAGTCCACTGTAGCCACATTCAAAGATGACAGTTTTCCCACTCTCTGAGGTCAAAGTTTTGGGAAGTACAATGGGTGTTTGTCCTATTGAAAAGAGAGAAGCAATAATCACAGCGTAAGGAGGAGTGCTGCTCATTTGACTAAGAAATCGTGATCTTTTTGACTATTCCAAGGACTACACCTATACACGAAATACTCTAAAATACAATACAAAGCATTAAATGATGTGAAAAAATATACAAAATAATCTAATTTTAAGCCACTGAGCAACACAAACGTCTTAATATTATATATATATATATATATATATATATATATATATATATATATATATATATATATATATATATATATATATATATATATATATATTGTTGTTCTATTAATTCAACAGATTATTTAACTTTTAAAATGTTTAAGTGTCAATGATCATAAACTGATTGAAAGTTGAATATAAGACACTTTTTTCATTGTAAACATTGAAATGAAGCTCACCTTTAGTAATTGAAGCTAATTGAACCACTAAAAGCAGAAGGCACGTCAGACGGACGATGGTTTGGATCTTCATCCTTCCCATTTGATCAGTCGCAGGACCACGAAAAGCCATTTGAGCTGGTCCAGTCTGTCGAGCGATGGCTCACCAAGGGAGCAAATAAAAGCTGTGCTGTTTCTTACCAGACACTGCGATGTAAACCACCCTGGAGGATGCTCATTTGCAAGGAGCTTTTCCAAGAAAGTTTTAAGTCTGGGTTGGGACATACCCTTTTCCAGGTTTTACAGCAGTGAGCACTGCTCTCTTTACACTTCCTGGTGCTTAGCACTGATTTCTTTATGCTTTCCCTTCCTCCATGCATTACCAAACTCCTATTTGAGTATAAGGCATTTTACTGCCAAAACAGTGAAGATGGAAATTTACATCAGCCAGAAAGACACATTTTTTCCACACAGCACTAGTCCTGTTGAACCTTTTGTGTGTGTGTGTGTGTGTCTGTGTGTGTGTGTGTGTGTGTGTGTGTGTGTGTGTGTGTGTGTGTGTGTGTGTGTGTGTGTGTGAATGAAAGACTTCTCTTAGATGCATTTGAATTTGATTTGTGGTGGGATCATTTGCACAAACCTTTAATGAAGGTTTAATGGGAGAATGCAAAAGATAGATTACGAAAATAAGAAGCAAAATGTGTTAACATGATTGTGTCGTCATGCCCATATACGTGTTAATATAAATCCACATTGTAACGTGATAAAGCATTCATTCATTCATTTTCTTGTCGGCTTAGTCCCTTTATTAATCCGGGGTCGCCACAGCAGAATGAACCGCCAACTTATCCAGCAAGTTTTTACGCAGTGGATGCCCTTCCAGCCGCAACCCATCTCTGGGAACCTGATAAAGCAATATAATGCTAATAATGCTAATAAAAAATGAATACTGTAATTAACATTCTATAAGTTGTATTATACTATACATTAAATTACATATTACCTTTAAATTTGGCCCTAATTCATACCCTTTAAGTTTTTTTCCTCTTGCTATATTGCAGCCATTTGCTAAAATCATTTAGATAAATTTTTTCCTCATTAATGTACACACAGCACACCATATTGACAGAAAAACTAAGAATTGTTGACCATTTTTACAGATTTATTAAAAAAGGAAAAACTGAAATATCACATTGTCCTTAGTATTCAGACCCTTTGCTCAGTATTTAGTAGAAGCGCCCTTTCAGTCTAATAAAGCCATGAGTCTTTTTGGGAAAGATGCAACAAGCCTTTCACACTTGGATTTGGGGATCCTCTACCTTTCCTCCTTGCAGATCCTCTCCAATTCTGTCAGGTTTGATGGTAAACCAATATCCATTTTTAGGTCTCTCCAAAGATGCTCAATTAGGTTTAAGTCAGGGCTCTGGCTGGGTCATTCAAGAACAGTCACAGAATTGTTGTGAAGGCACTCCTTCGTTATTTTAGCTGTGTGCTTAGGGTCACTGTCTTGTTGGAAGATAAGCTTTCAGCTCAGTCTGAGGTCCTGAGCACCCTAGAGACTATTTTCGACCAGGATATCCCTGTAATTGGCCGCAATTCAACTCTCACCTCTGGATGAAATTTGACCCAATACTTATGGAGGCTGGAGACATTGGCTGTTTCTCAATATTCGTTCTTCAGCGGTCTTGCATCCTCGTGTTCTCGTGCAACGTCATCATCAGCTGCCTAAGTTCAGTTCCAATACTCAAGACCGCAAGTACGGAGGACGCGTGAAACTTCCCGGATGTGTTATTGATATCGAGGACGCACTGATGCAGACTTGAGCAGCGAACTCGCTCTGGAAGTCCCAGAAGTCATTGCGACTGGAGGTGGGAAGCGCAGAATTTTATTTAGATTTATTATTAAAGTTCAGGGATATCATTTATTTACCTCAGGAGTTTCCCTAAATAAAACTGTGAAAATAAACATTAACATGGATATCTTAGTAAAGGAATAAACACATTAAGGGTTGTTTGTTTGCTGAAATTCGTATTAAAATCAGTTTTATTTATATTGTGCAACATATATTTATAATGTTTTTATGCAAAGTATATATTTTGAAAAGGGGAAAAACAATAAATCGTTGTATGAATGCTGTAATGTTTAAATAATTTACCATTTAAAACACGTGAAGGTCATGTGACCATCAGGAAGAACGCAGCATCCCATTTCTCAAAGGACGCGTTCTCTGCCCTCGCGGTCTCCTGAGTTCATTCTTCCGAGGACACCTGGCAAGACCGCTCTCCACAAGAACGCAAGTCCATTCTCTGCGTTCTTGGAATTGAGAAACAGCCATTGCACTGAGTGGTCCATGGTCTCCAACTCCATTATTGGCGTAGCTATTCTTGTGCTAGTCACATCAACGACCCAATAACCTGGTGGCCAGTGCTTCACCATAACTGTTTACAGTTGAAGTGGAGAGCTTTTGACCTCGACTGAAGATGTTGTCAGATCTTAAAAGGAATACTTTGAGGATCTCTTCAATCTATCTGACAGGAGAATTCGCCCAATATTAAAACAATGAATTCAGGATGAACAATGTAGTATTTGTTTGGGCTGTGGAACACTGGACCAGCTCTAGGCCCTTTCTAGTGTTGTTGAGGTTTCTTGGGTGTTCCCTGTCCACATGTGCTTTGTGGTCTCGGAGAAGTTGTCCTTCGGTTTGCATTGCCAAGTCAGACTTGTTCCTTGTGAATGTTGTACTCCGACAGCACTTTCCTTTGTCACTGGTACTGTTCATTATTTTGGGGCTGGAGTGTGTCTGGTTCAGGGGCTACAGGATTTAATCTCTGCTATTTGCAGAGTTTTTGTCTTGTTTGCTTAATCTGGCCTGGAGCTTCATCCGGCATTGGGACTGTTTTCTGCTGAGAGGGATGCAGCAGGGTTGACAATCAGCACCTCCCAAGTCCAAGGCCATGGTGCTCCACCTGGAAATGGTGGCTTGCCGTTTTCAGGTTGGAAGAGAGTCTTTGCCCCAAGTGAGGGAGTTCAAGTATCTTTGGTTTGTGTTCACAAGTGAGGGAAGGATGGAATATAATGGTTAGTGTAATGTGATCAATGTACCGGCCCATTGTGGTAAAGAAGGTGATTAGCCAAAAGTCAAAGCTCTTAATTTACCATTTAATCTACCTTTCTTGATCTACTTACCATTAATTCTACCTTCTCTCACTCAAAACTCATAACCAGAAGAACAAAATCTCAAATGCAAGCGGCTGAAATGAGTTTTCTTTACAGGGCGGCAGTGTGCACCTAATCATTTAATCAATAATGTATTTATATTCTAAATTAAAAAGCACAAACATTAGTACTGTAAAATTTTATTTTAAAGATTAAGTGTTCATTAAGAGTCATATATTATGGGTGCAACATTTAGATTTTGTTGAAAAAAAAAATTTGAACAAATCGCTGATCAGGATTTCAATATTGTACACACATTCATCTCGGTTAGTTTCATCAACAGAAAAAGAAGCATAAACACAGAATAAAAGCTAAGTTGTATGTTTTATTGTCGTAATATTTGACCTAAAGCATTACCAAATTACTACAAATGTTACTCTCAATGTTATGATACAACATCTGGATAAACACACACTGTAGCAGCTGAACATAAAATTAGACATACAATTGAATTAAACAGTGCATTGCATAGCAAAGAAGCCATTATATGTACAACAGTGACAACAATATACGCAACAATACTGACTGCCACAGCAAAGAGTTTATGCATACTGCTCTCTGAACCAGTCTTTGGTTTTTATTGCTTTTTATTCCTTTTAAGAAAAAAAAAAAAAGCTAAATACACAAAGGTATGTAGTTTTCAACGAACATTTATAAATGTCAGCGTTCTGGCCATTTTACTTTTATAAAACCTATTGAAGTACATCATGGCACATTTGACAAAGGCCTGTATTATTCAGTAAACTTCTGTTTGTCATAAAGATTTGATTTATATGCTTCATTATTATTATTAATATTATTAATAATATTATTATACTGTAGGTGTACCGCTAGTAAACAAAATTGAGATAAATACTGAAGAGTGAGATAAAGGCGAGAGTTATTGTCAGTAGGGGTGTGTGATATTTATTGTCTATGACTGAGGTTCTCAAAGCTTACTTCTAGTGGTGAGCGGAGGAATCACTGAGCAATGAATTTGATTCGTACAATAACACCAATGTGATCAGCATTAGCTGTTCTCTAAAGCCTACAATCAAAGCGATGTGCGTAAAATGTTTACTTTAGTGCATCGCATCATCAGCTGCTATAAATCTATTTAATTGGTGCAGAACTAGAGAAAGAGGTGCGTGGTGCTTGCAGAGCAGATACTTGATAGAGCAGTGGTCTCAAACCCTCGGGCCACAAACAAGCAATGGTCTATAGTTCAATTGGTACCGGGTCGCACAAAAAATCATTAATTATTTCCGTTTTATTTATAATCTAAGTCTGAACGATCGTTCATTTAAAAAAAAAAATCTTTTATTTTCAAAAATGACCGTATTCTCTCGTTACATCTCGGTCACTTGAGTGCCACAATTCAACCCACAGGCTAGCAAAATGAGTACTGCAGCATGACGCATTTGTGTATTCCAGGCGTGCACAGTTGAAAACATCCTACCTTTTCAGAATGCTGCACCGCGAGTCACGTGACAAGAACTGACTGATCAGCTTTCTATTTTGTATGGAATATAATGTCGTTGAATGAATATGACTCTGCCTCGTTTTCGAACTGTGCAGTGCTGTAGCTGCTTAATTCGGCCAACTACGCTACTTTATTTCAATACCCCTGATTATGGTGGTTCTTGGAGAGACAATTTTTTTTTCTGAGGTGGTACTTGGTGAAAAAAGTTTAAGAACCACTGGTTTATGATATTAAAATTGTACTTCTTAACAGTGTAAGACATTATTGAATATGTCACTTACTTTGCAAAAAAAACTAGCAAACAAATAAACGAAGATCAAAAGCATTCACTGCAACATGAAGCCTGTTAGAATGACTATATTTAAAGTTACGAGAACCAAAAATATTCTTCGATGTTGTTTATTGTAATATATATTTACAATATATCATAATAATATCACACTAACGTTGTCATAGCATGTGTGATCACAAATGTGATACTTATTTTCTTCTTTTTTTCTGTTTTGCACAAGAAAACTGTCCTTTAAAGGTGGTGCAGAACATTTGTGCGTCTCAGAAGAACACTGTAGTGTTTCGCTGCTGAATGATTCTGCTTTTTAATTAATTGAGCTCGTAAAAAGAGTCATCAATTAAATCACTCATTATGACAAGTGCTGCATCCAAATTCACATACTATTTCCTAAATAGTATTCGAAAATAGAATTGGTATGTCCCAATTCGTAGTATGATGTTTTGAGTATTTCAAAGTTACTTGGATGGTCTACTATTTCTGGTAGAAATTGGAAATGTAGATCTGTGCTTACTCTTATAGCTAATATTGCCGACAATACATTGCGCATCAGACATGAATTCAATTAGAACTACAAATGTGGGTAAAAAGTGTTGAACTACAAACATGGTGGATGCATGAGACTGACTGTTAAGTGGAGAGGCTTTGGTAAAGCTGCTTGAAGGACTACATGCTAATTAATATCTAAGCTGGAAAATATTTAAATCGCTCTTCGTATTCTTCATATTTCATCTGCAACAATGTGAACTTTGTTCAGGCGTGTTTGGCCATTAACTTCTAAATGCGCAAATAAGCAAACACCTGAGGAGATTTCTCTACATGAAAGACTCATGAATGGCAGATCCATCTGCTGCTGCTGCTGCTGCTTTAGTATATGCTAGGACATTTTATATGAAAGAATGTGGATGATGTTTCATTATGATTGACAGTGCATGTTACTAAGCAAAAAAATGATCTAAGAATGAGCAGGTAGTATGTCTCAATGCTTGCATACTCTTTTGTTACCCACTCAAAGTATGTTTTTCTTTACAAATAAGGTTGATGGTTTTAAGACTAAGTTTAAGTAAGTGAATTTGGGCTCAGCATTGGAGTTGCAATCACCTATTGATGGTTTTAGTGTCATATGTGTTTCTCAATGAGAGGCCTAAAAGGTTGTAGTGCAACACACATATTCAACAAAATATAATTTAATCATTACAAAATTTTTTTTTAGATATACTTAGATTTTGGCAATATCGCACACCCCTACTTCTTAGATCTCAGAATGTGCTAAAACACATTGTACTTTTTTTAATTTCTGGAGCATTCTATTTCTTAAATATTAATTGTATTTTTTCAGATGCATGAACGAAAAACAGAAATTTCAATCTAACTAGAGCTGAAACTGATCACAGATTTAATCCGTCTTGCTACCTTACAGTCTGTACAAACCTACAGGACAAATAGGATAAAAATATCCTTGAATGTTTTTTCATATAAACTACCATTCAAACAGTTTGATATTGGTTATTTTTGAATGTTTGAGTTAAAAAAAAGAGTCCTCTGCTCAGCAAGAATTAATATATTTAATAAAAAAATGTAATAAAACAGAATATTATTATATATGTATAAATCCTATCGTAGCTATTTTCCATGTGAACATTTTAAACTTTAAATTCTTGTGATGGAAAGTTGAATTTAGTGCATCATTATTGTAGTCTTCAGTATCACAGGATCTTTCAGAAGTTATAATATGCCGATTTATTTATTTTAAAGATTTTGTTTTCTTGTTTCTTGCTGGTTTATTGATTATTAAGATTTTTTTTGCTTATTATCAATATTCAAAACTTTCTTTAGTGAAAATTACATTTTTATTTAAAATTAATTACTGAAATATTATAAAGGATTTTTAAAATGTTATTTTTTTCATCAAGAACACAATGAATCAATCAAAAGTTACAGTAAAAAAGTTTCATGTTGAAAATACATTTCAAATAAGTGCTATTATTTTGAACTTTGGATTCATCAACGAATCCTAAAAAGTAATAAAGTTTCCACAACAATTTGAAGCTGAAACAAGTATCAAACTGGACGATCATTTTAACGTTTTCAACATATTAACATCTTTTACAAATTTTTCTATATTACTGTGTTTTTGTACTCTGAGCAAATAAATGCAGCTTTGGCGAGCGAGAGAGACTTCTATCAAAAACAAACCAATACTAAACCTTTAAACAGTACCATCTCTATATAAAGCAAGTTTTTTTTTTTTAAGTTTCAGTGAGTAATTTCCATACTGTATCTGCCACATTTTGATGTCAGGAAAAGGTTTTAGGTTTTGTACAAATGAGGTGTTCATAAACATATTAAACCCAAAGTACAGCATCTTCATCATCATCAAGGCCCTCCTTGGGTCAGACCAAGCGAAAGTTATTAGCCAAATGTCCTTGAGCCAGTTTGATCATCTCAAAACATCTGATCCACAGCAGACGTCTGATCTCAGACCGATCCCAGCAACACATCAATACTTCAGTCTCAAATACAACATGTTCCGTTGTGAATTACTATGGTGTGGCGGCTCGTGCCATTTTGTGCACTCCTGGGGAATTCTCATACATCTATGGAGAGAAAAGTTTGTTTATACATAAATCAGTCCCTCCATTTCATAGGACAATTTATAAAATTTAAAATTTGACAGATTTTTGTGGTGATGTTCTTAATATTTGCACCAATAAATTGTGTTTTTGCTGTATAAATATGGACAGACAGAATCATTAGGTTCTGTGATTCATTAAAAAAGGAAACACGAGAGAAACTTAAGTTTACATTGTATAATTCCTGCTATATCATAGGCCTATTTTATACACAACTTACTCTAAATAAAGAAAATAAACCAATCCGTATCTTTTTAAATTGTTAGCATTAGAATAATCAAAGTACATATATGAAATATGATGTAATTTTCTGTTCAGTAAATGAGCATTGCAGTTTTACCCACTACAATTGAAACGACAGAGCATTTATTATAAAATTAAGCATGTATGTGTCATAAAAATAGGTTATTAAGACATTAAGAGCAGTAAATAGTTTTTATATGCATGTCTCTTGTACTACTGTGCAAAATAATTAATTAACATTCATGACGTTACACCTTACGTTACATTTATAAACATTCCTGTCCGAACAATTCATAAATTTACTAAATAGAATATTTTACCCAATTTCAGTCACTAAGTTGTTTTTTCCCCTGTATTCTCACCATGCATTAATAATAATAATAATAATAATTTCTTTACATTTATACAGCACTTTTCTAGACACTCGAAGCGCTTTACATATTTGTGGGAATCTCCTCATCCACCACCAGTGTGCAGCATCCACTTGGATGACGTATTGGAAGCCATATTGCACCAGACCACACACCAGCTGGTTAGTGGAGAGGAGACAGAGTGATGAAGCCAATGGTTTGGAGGCCATGATGGACAGAAGCCAGTGGGCAAATTTGGCCAGAATGCCGGGGTTAAACCCCTACTTTTTTTTTTAAGGACATCCTGGGATTTTTAAAAACCACAGAGAGTCAGGACCTCTGTTTAACGTCTCATTTAAAAGATTCACTGAGCAGTATAGAGACCCTTTCACTATACTGGGGCATTAGGACCCACACAGACCACAGGTTGAGTGCCCCCTGCTGGCCTCACTAACAACACTTCCAGCAGCAACCTAGCTTTCCCATGTGGTCTCCCATCCAGGTACTGACCGGGCACAGCCCTGCTTAGCTTCAGTGGGCAACCATGTGAGAGTTGCAGAGACATAGCTGCCGGCATTAAATGTTTATTTAAAAAACAAATAAATACATTTCCTTATTAAGTCTCATTTAGATGTAAAATATCTTTTATATATATTAACTGATACTGTGTTTTATCATGCTTTTATTCATTCATTAATTTTCTTTTGGCTTAGTCTCTATTACAGAGGTGGCCACAGCAGAATGAACCACCTACTATTCTGCCATATGTTTTATGCAGTGGATGCCGTTCCAATCGCAACCCAGTACTGGGAATTATCCATACACTCTCATATTCACACACACACACACACACACACACACACACACACACACACACACACACACACACACACACACACACACACACACACACACACACACAATGATCAATTTAGTTTATTCAGTGCACCTTTAGCACATGTCTTTGGATTGTGGGGGAAATTGGAGCACCGGGAGGAAACCAACACGGGGAAAACATGCAAACTCCACACAGAAATGCCAACTGACTCTGCCAAGACTTGAACCAGTGATCTTCTTGCTATGAGGCGACAGCCCCAACCACTGATACACCGTTCTTGCATGGTCTGGTCATGCAATTAAATTAACATGCACCAGATAAAAGTAAACTTGTTTAGTTGATTGGTCAAGGATGGTTGCTACTGTCATTTTACCCTCTGTATAAATAAAGTAATAGGTTATTTAAAGCCTGGTAATGTCATATGATCTTGCTAAGCCTACTGAAAATCTTTGGAAAATCTGCTGCAATTGAAAAAATTGCATCTGATAACTGCATTACTGAAAGATGTGCTGTTATGATGAATGGTCATCTGCATCACTCACCCTCATAGCAGTTGAAATCCACGGCAGAAAGCGGGACACACGTGTGTAAACGCCAGGCTTCTTGGCCATAGCACAGCCTGTGCCCCAGCTTACAACTCCCAGCAGACGATAGCGGCTGGTCTTAGAGAGCACATCTGCTGCTACGAAAGGTCCACCGCTGTCCCCCTGAATTTATAGAAGACCCAGAAACAGACAGAGCTTTAATGCCATGTATGTTTACACATACCAGGAATTGGTTTTCATGACATAAGTTTCCACAGTGCAACAGAATGACAGTGATAGGACAAAGACACAGATAATAAAAGAATTAAAATTTACATATACAGTTGAAGTCAAAATGATTCACCCTCCTGTGCATATATATATATATATATATATATATATATATATTTTCAAAATTTTCCCAAGTGATGTTTAACAGGGCAAGGGATTTTTCCCAGTATTTCCTATAATATTTTTTCTTCTGGAGAAAGTCTTATTTGTTTTATTTCAGCAAGAATAAAAGAAGTTTTAATTTTTTTTAAACCATGTTAAGGTCAATAATATTTTTTTTGTCTACAGAACATACCAGCTTTATATAGAATGATTTGCCTTTAATTTAAGCCTTTAAATGTCACTTCAAGCTGAATACTAGTATCTTGAGAAATATCTAGTTAAATATTATGTGCTGTCATCATGGCTGTAACTATCACCACTAGATCCCTAGATCGCTGGTGACCTACACAAACATCACATGAACTACTATAGTTTCCGCTACGTTTATTCTTCCATTGGCGGTGCACCATGCCAAAATTGATCCCGCCACGGCTACATAACAGCTTTTTATTAAAAATTTTCAGTCCTGTTTTTTTATTTTAATAGCGAATTTTAATTTTTTTATAGGATATTTGCACCAAAACTTTTTAAAAGGTAAGTGAATTATAACAACGCGAAATTTTCTGTAACAGTAGTAGTGCTGTGCGTCATTTGTTTAACCCTTTAAGGTTACGTGCTGACTGACTGACTGACTGACAGGTGCGTGATGCGGCAAACTCGACGTATAGCCGTTTCACTTTACTTCAGGACGCATTAATACCGCTCTGTAGGTCTATTGGAGACATTCATAAATATTCCTAACAAATCTAATAAATGCTGGAGACATGCTCATTTCATAAACGCACTAAATCGTTCTTCAGCAGCGTTTATTTGAGAGCGCACAAGAAGATCTGCGCTTGAGCAGCTTATATTTGAGGGGGCGTGCAAGAAGTTTTGTGCACAAGCTGAGGAAATTGACACGCAAGCAAAGAGATTTGCATGCTATAGGCTATTACATAAATGCGATCTCGACTTGTAATACTGCGCTCATGTCATTTGCCATTGAAATAATGCCACAGGTAGGTGGTAGATTGGTGTAAAAAAGGCCTGTCGCCACAGCTGGAAAAAATCCTAGAGGAAACACTGACTACCGCTACCAGGATGCTTTGCGACAAGTTAACCTAATTATCCCAGTTAAGCCTTTAAATGTCACTTTAAGCTATATAGAAGTGACTTGAAAAATATCTAGTAAAATATTATTTACTGTCATCATGGCAAAGATAAAATAAATCTGTTATAAGAAATGAGTTATTAAAACTATTATGTTTAAAAATGTGTTGAAAAAAATCTTCTCTCCGTTAAACAGAAATTAGGGAAAACATAACAAGGGGGCAAATAATTCAGAGGGGCTAATAATTCTGACTTCAACTGTAAATGTTATAATTTTAAAAAACATGAAACGTTTCTATATAAAAAAAAATATTTACATTTTTATATATTTTTGACTATTTATACCAAAATAGAACTGACATATTTGAATATTATGCATGCTAAAATAAGAAAGATTTATAATTTCAGATTTTAAAATAAGCTGTATAGTAGCCAAACCTTTACCATAAACAAACTAAATTAATTAAATAAACTAAATAAATACATAAATACTAAATAAAAAATAAACTAATGAAAGATTTAACATCATTACAATTACAGTTTTACAGTCTAGTATGATGATATTATTATATATATTTTTCTTTTTTGCATGCATGGATCTTTCTTCCATTTTAACTGGAAATAATACTCATTTATACAACATATACCACATATTTATAACATACCATAATTTGGGACGCTCTAATTATTCTTATTTTGAATGCTATTCAGGACAAATACATCAGTTCACAACAATAGCATCCAGCTACGTGCACATTAGTTATGAATGTGTCCCTCTAGTGGCCGTGCGCAGTGCTGCTGAGTGACAGATACAGTACCTGGCATGAGTCTGTTCCTCCTTTCTCATAACCAGCACAGAACATGGTGGTTGTGACCTGGTTGTCATAATAATCAGGGCCATTGCACACCGCATCACTGATGATGGGCACGTGGGCCTCCTGGAGGACATTTGCTTGAGTTCCTGCAAGAGTTAAAGTGATGAAAATTAGGACAATACAGTGACGTTTTTTTTTTTTTTTAAATCTAATATATACTAATGTTGCCTTCAAATCATGTTGGAAGATTGTATTTAAAGGCATAGTTTACCCTAAAAATGAAAATGTCTAAATTTTCTTTCCATTTACTGTATTTTTACCACTGTAGATCAATATATTTTGATTTGGTTCCCATTGACTCCCATTACATATGTTTATATTATTTTATGTATGATCCATTATATATTTGTCCATACAATACATTTCATTGGCAACTGACTCTTGTTAAAAATGAGTTGCTCTGTTGAACAAAAATGCATTTTCACATTTTAAGGAAACTACATTCTCCTTTACTTTTGTATTTGTGCCACTATCCAGAGGTAATCAATGACATACCGTGTATAATACTCAGTGGTGAAAAGAGTACAAAAAAATTAAGTACCATTACATGCCCAAAAATGTAGTGCGAGTAAGAGTATTTGTTGTAAATATTACTCAGAGTATGAGTAAAAAGTAGAGCTTTCAAAAGTACCCAGGAGTAGTAAGCATTAAACTGTGAAAAGTTGATGCGTTTACATGCATTTTGTGCAGGGATGTGTAAACGGAACATTCTGTAATGCATTTACTGAACTTCCTTCCGTCTTTCTTTCCATTGTTCATTCGTCCGTGTGTCCGTTCCTTTCTTCGTCCGTTCCTCTTCGTTTGTTCCTTCCATCCTCCGTTCGTGCATGTTCGTTCGTTCCTTTTTTCCTTCCTTCCTTCGTTCGTCCTTCCTTCTTTCGTTAATTCCTTCCTTTGTTCTTTCATTGTTTTTTTTGTTCGTTCCTTCCTTCCTTCGTCCATTTGTTCCTTTGTTTGTTCGTTTGTCCATCCGTCCGTCAATTTGTCCGTTCACTCATTCTTTCCTTCCTTCCTCTGTTTGTTTGTTCCTTCCTTCATTCGTTCTTCTGTTTGTTCCTTCCTCCATTCGTTTTTTCATGCATTAGTTTGTTCGTTCGTTCCTTTTTTCCTTCGTTTAGCCTTCCTTTTGTTCGTTCCTCCTTTGTTTGTTCCTTTGTTCCTTCATTTGTTCCTTCCTTCTTTCCTTCCTTCCTTCGTCCATCAGTTTGTCTGTTCATTCATTGTTTTCTTCCTTCCTTCCTTCCTTCGTTCATTCCTTCCTTCCTTCACTCATAAATTTATTCACTCGCTCATTCATTCATACCTTAGTTTGTTTAGTCCTTCCTTAAATCCTTCCTTCATTCATTTGGTCCTACCTTCCTTCATTAGTTCGGTCCTTCCTTCCATTCCTTGTCCTGCCCTTCCTTCATTCGGCCCTTCTTTCCATTCTTCATTATTCCATTAAGAAATTGTTTAAGGCCGTTTCAGTCATCATACAGTCGACATCCTTCATCCAAACAGTCTCTGGGTCATTGCGTATAAAGATATTGGACATCTTCTCACACATTTTTTAATGCTTCCAAAAGGTTTGCTGCATTTCTAAACCACCCGTGTCTTGAGGTTGTCCAGTATGATGTGATTTACTTTCTATATGCGATTTCATTGGACAGGAATAACAGGACTGATTTTTGAACTCAGCCAATGCCCATAGACAAGAAAGAAATAAAGTAGTGACTGCAGGTTGAAAGAATGTAGTGAATTAAAAGTAACGATACTGCACTAAAAATGTAGGTAAAGTAAAGGGAAAGTAAAAGTACACATTTTAAAAACTACTTTGTAAATTACAAATCCTGAGAAAAACTACTCCATTACAGCAGTTTGAGTATTTGTAGTTACTTACTTTACACCACTGGTAATACTGTACTGTATTTAACTTGTATGGCCCAGACTGATTTGTTTTAGCCATTGTCCTCCGTGAATGTAATTCACTTTCTAAGAGGTGATGTTTACTTGAACTATTCTGATCATGCAGATCTGATCACTTAGGTGTGACCTGAAGGCAAACATGTTGTCATTTACTACACAGACAATAATTTGTGACCCTCGGTGCTTATGAAGAAACAGGTATTGTGTATAGTAAATGAAAGCTTAGCAAGTACGTGGGCAGAAGCATAACGATATTTTTTTTAAAACATACATCCTTAATTTCTACCATTAGGTAAAAGCATACCAATTGTACTGAAATAATATTCATGTTAGGAAATGAATCAGTGTTATTTTAGTATTTATTATTACACTCAGAAAAATAATGTCTGCTAAACTGTTGCAATTTATTTACATGGGTTGAATTTAAACAAACAAATTAAATTTGGTAATGTTCAACATAATTTGCTTGTTGAAATTCAGCCCGAATAAATAGTTTACAACCACTTAACTTAAAAAAAATTAGTAAATCCAGGGAATCATCAGTGTATTATTTTCATAGTATATTATTTAGAGCTGCACAATATATGGTTTCAGCATCAATATCGCAATGTGATTATTCCCAAGAGTCACATCGCGAGTATAGGCAATGTTAATTTTGGATTATAATTTATCAAATCGCAAGTGTTTTTTGAGGCCTGTGACTGTGTGATGGTTTTTAAAAAAAATTGAGAAATTGTGTTGCCTAAAATTGTACTAATTGCACCTTTAACAACAATTAATTTTATTGAAATGTTTCTAAAAGTATATGCATTAATATTTTACTTTTAATAATTCAATTACTGTACACCTTAATACAATTTAACTCCTCAGAAAAAAAGCGTTATTAAATAAATACAAATCTCTTAATTAGTATCTTTTCCTTTATTGAATTGACCTATGCTTGTAGATTTTTTATTATATTTTATGCACTCCCTCTATCATCCCACTCAATATAAAATTATCAATTCTTTTCAAACAGTTTTTCACCTGAAATTGTATTCATATTATAATGTATATTGCAGAATAATAATCGCAATGTTAGATTTGTCTAATATCGTGCAGCCCTAATATTATTAGTAGTTTAGTATTCTAACATATACAATTTCATATATAGTTGAAATCAGAATTATTATTACCCACTTGATTTTTCTTCTTCTTTTTAAAATATTTCCTAAATGATGTTTAACAGAGCAAGGACATTTTCACAGTATGTCTGATAATATTTTTTCTTCTGGAGAAAGTCTTATTTGTTTTATTTCAGCTAGAATAAAAGCTCTTTTTTTTCGATAGTCTACAGAACAAACCATCAATATACAATAACTTGCCTAATTACCCTAACCTGCCTAGTTAACCTAATTAATCTAGTTAAGCTTTTAATGCCACTTTAAGCTGCATAGAAGTTTCTGGAAAAATATCTAGTCAAATATTATTTACTGTCATCATGGCAAAGATAAAATAAATCAATTATTATAAATGAGTTATTAAGACTTTTATGTTTAGAAATGTGTTGAAAAATAACTTCTTTCCGTTAAACAGAAATTGGGAAAACAAATAAAAGGGGGGCAAATAATTCTAACTTCAACTTTGGTATTTAATTTTAAATTAGTTTCAGCTGTTTAATTTCAAGTTCCTGTATGTATGCATGTTTTGCTATATTGTAATATTTTAATTAGCAAACTTGGTGAAAAAGTACACTAACATAAGGCCCCAAAGAAATCATATATTATGGAAAAAGTATAATGTATGAGCATATGCTTGTGTAAACTGATTGCAGAGTCTATTTTACTACTAAGGAGTGTATTTTCAGTACTATCAAGCACACTTCTTTTCAAGGGATAACAGGTGAAATGTGATACACCTACTACACTCAAAAATGATAGTTGCTGTTTCTTCAAACTAATTTCAAATGAGCTGAAACAACACAAGTCTTGAGCTTTTTGAGAGGGCAGCTTAGTTGTTTTATGTTCAGTCCACTAAAGTTTTTAAACACTAATCATAATTCGTTTATATTGCCCCAACACAAATCGATTGTGTGGAACCCAGTATTTCTTCAGTGTATGCTTCTATCAAGTAGATCTACTGTTTTTATTTTTTAATATTATGTTTTTTAACCGAGTCAAAATTATTGTCTGCAAATTTCAAGCTCAAAAACACTCACAAAGGTCACTGACACAAAGGTCAAAGTCAGCCAGACAGACAGACAGTCTCCAGTTCCCGGTAAAGATAGATGATAAACAGTGGAATACAGCGCTACAGTGACCTTTAATTAAAGACATTACTAACCATAATACTCCACGTTACCCCAGCCAGTAACTGTACCCATCTGTCCGTCTGCCAAACGCTGGCCGTAGGTCGGAAGACACACGGGCTGGATATAATCTAAAAGAGCACAATAGATAGTGTCAAACGTGTGAAAGAGAATGCAATACTTTGGATGAACACTGGAGTGGATGAAGAGCAATTACCTTCCATTTACATTGGGAAACATTTATAAGCCCAACTTATTCCCTACAACACTTTGGTTACTTTTACACACACAAAAAGAAGAGAAAGGAAAAGAGGTGAATTTGAGGAAAGGGTTTGTCCTTCTGGAAAGTTCTGCATGTATTGTCTTTTGTTTTGACTCAAGGTCCCGTGGAAATAGAGGAGCTTTGTTCTCAGGACGAGCAACCTGAGACCTGAGGGAGGTTTTACTTTAAAGTTGTGCTCACTCCGACAGACCTGTAACAAACCAGTAGCTAATGAAAAACACCTCATAACAGACTCCAATCAAAGTGCTGCCAGTAAACATTTACCACACAGAGCCTATGAAGAAAAAAAAAACTTTGTATTAAATTCCTTCAATTTAAAATGCTAAAAAAAATTTGATAAAAAAGTATAACAGCCAATCACTTTTTATCAACTATCAGAGTTGAACAGTGGAATTACAGAAAGTCTCTTTTTTTAAAAGGATAACTAATACACCTTTAAAGATAGTCTCTTTGTGAGTTCAGAAATGTTAAATCAATGGTGTATGCCTTTTTTTTTAATACATCTATTTGCATTCATTCAATTTATTTGTAAAGCAATCATAGAAAGACTATCCTATAAGGCTGTGCAGAAAATTGACCAATCAGAGCGTGTTATCAATCAAAGCTTGCCAATTATTTAGTTTTATATTTCTCGGTTGATTTTTTTCTTTGATTGTGCATACACAGTGCTTTATAGGATTGTAGTTATTTCCCTCATTAGAGCTTAGTGCATGTCTTGTATCTTTGTCTTTCTATCCAAATTTCTGTTTATATGTGATGTGCCATGGGCACAAACCCACTCTCGCCCCACTTTATGCATTTACAGTCATGTTTACAGCTGGTACTGGTAAGATTTTCACTAGTGGACAACAGTAAATGCAGGTGTAAACAGGCTCTAAAATGTTTTTAATTCTATTTCTTCAATAAATTCACATGTGTTAAGAATTTGTTAAGTGTTTTCGTTACAGGACTTGTTGTAAACCCACAGCAATCTGCATAGTTTTGCAGGAATAAAGGTGCTGCTCTCTGTATCATTTCCCATTGTCTTGTCTCCTTTTACATTCATATATTAAATGTATACGTTTATGTAAGGAGTATTTGATGATGAGATGTGGACTTATCACGCTGTGGCAAATTAATTCATATTTATTAATTCGGGATTTTCTAACAATTCAATTAACTCAATGCAATGACCGATTATTCAGCTTATATTACTGTTACCAAACTTAAAAACACTGGGTATGATTTATAAAATTTGAGTAAAAAGTGAACATACACCAGGATAAATGTAAATTTATTTATTAATGATTATAACTTGTATGATGAATTAAAGTGGTTCACCGTATTTAAGTTAAATATGTTTTCTTAGAGTTTACTTACAGCTTCCTGTTTCATTGCGCAAAGGAAACAACTGGTGCCATCAGCCCCCCTGCTTATTTTTTTTCCCCGATTTCTTTTTAATGGAGAGAAGATTTTTTCAACACATTCCTAAACATAATAGTTTTAATAACTCATTTCTAATAACTGATTTATTTTATCTTTGCCATGATGACAGTAAATATTTGACTAGATATTTTTTAAGACACTTCTACACAGCTTAAAGTGACATTTAAAGGCTCAACTAGGTTAAACTGCTTACCTTTTTTAACCTGCTAGGTAAAATAAAAATTCAAAGTGGGACTAATAATTCTGACTTCAACTTTGTATGTGCATGTATATGTATGTGTGTATATATATATATATATATATATATATATATATATATATATATATATATATATATATATATATATATATATATATATATATATATATATATATATATATATTTTTTTTTTTAATTTATTAATTAATTTATTAATTTATTAATTAATTTATTTATTTATTTTTAAGAACATTTTTGTTGAATAAAAAGTGTATGTATACGGCTATATTTTGCTTGTTTTTTTTCACATTATTTAAAAATTGTGGCAAGGAAACATTTAGTTCATTGTGGCCAAAAAACAATTTAGTAAATCCTTAGTGTTGAGCCCTAAAAAGTTACGTGAAATGCAATGCGACACCCTTAAACCACAACCCATTTGTTCATTGAGCAAGCTCACACACAAAAAAAGTTGAATGAGGAAGCATGTGGATAACACAACATCTAAATCAAGTAATTTTAGCATGCAAAAGTCAAATTTATGCATACAAAATGTATTTTCCTAACAACAAAATTGTAGCTAGTAAAAATGGCGAGTGGCTTGTAATGTTGGAAATCTACTAGCCACAGTGCCTGGTGATCAAAAAAGTTAATGTTAAGCCCTGTTTATAAGTGAGACCAGAGCTGTCACTAGTGGAAAGAAAAAAAGGAGTTCATGTGGCCCTGGCAATTTAGGGGCCCTGAAATGGAAAGCGGACCCCCGGTCTTTACTTTCGACAATCTCTCCTTCCCCCCTAGGTCTTTACATTCGACTATTGCTTTTTTGTCCTCAAATAGCTCCTCTGTCTAGTACTAGTTTCGTAGACGTTTTATTTAAGGCTCATATGTCTTTTGCTTTGTTTCACTATTGTCTGTTGCAGGCTGTGAAATAACTGTAATAATAAATGTGAATTCAGTGTAGTTATATGAAACTGTTAAAAACCTGCCTGAAACTATTTAATCGTGTATTTATCTCACAATAACTGCATAACGTAGAATGTTCATCAGCCAATCAGAATCAAGCATTCAACACACTTGTAATATAATTCACAATATTAAATCAAAAGTTCAGGAAATACACACACATGCATAAACCAACATTGTGTGTTTAAAACTCACCAGTGAACTGCAGAGGTTTCGTCAATGAGATGACTGCAATGTCCCGACTGTTATCATCAATATTAGCGTCGACGAAGGGCAGGTAACTGCTGTGGTAGACGACCGTCTTCACCTCTGCGATCACAACATTCTTACGGATGGGAGTGTTGTAGATCGAGCCCATCAGAACCCGCCAGCGGGATGCGTGACGATACCTCCTGAGAATACAGGCCCGAGAGTGAGATCACACATGCGGTTTTTCTTTAAAAAAATAATAATAATACACTGAAAAAAATGCTTCATTGGATTTACTAAATTTTTAAGGTAACTGTTTGCAAACAATTTATATGGGCTGAATTTAAACATAAAAAAAATTAAGTTGAACATTACTAAATTTAATTTGTTTAAATTCAGCCCATAAAAATTGTTTGCAACAATTTATTGTAAATCCAATTAATAATTTTTTCAGTGTACTTCAATTTACCAAGTATATATTCAATTGATCAAAAGTGACAGTTTAGTCATTTGCAATATAATGTTACAATTTATAACCTGATTTAGGATGCTTGATAGCATTTTAAAGCACTTTTCTGAGACAATATTAGCATTCTGGTAGTATTTTCAGTACATTTCTAACAATTTAACCAGTTGATAGCATTTTTATGAAAAAATTTTATGGAATTTTTCATTCCAATGTACATGTTTCTAAAAAATAATTTGTTGATAGCTTTATAAGAGCATTTTAAAAGCATAATGTAGCATAATGTACTGTGTATAAAGCATTAAGCACATTTTTAAACATAGTTTAACATGCTGTTAGCATTTTAGTGCCCTGACTGAGTTTTCTGAGAGACAGAACATAATGCTGATAATGCTGATGCCCTAATGCTGATTTGCCATAGTATTCACCAGTGCTCAACAGAAATTACTGTGATTGGCCTTGTTCAGCTTCAGTTTATTTAGTGAAAACACAGATACACGGACACTGGAGCACAAAGCAGCCGTGAAGATCAGTTGAGTCTTCAGCGGGTCACTCGTCTGTGTGTGTACTCTGTAAACATCAGTGGGTGAACTGATGACCTTCTCGGCCAATCACAGTCATTTCTGCTGAGCATGTAAACACAATGGCAAATCAGCATTAGGGCATCAGCATTATCAGCATTATGTTCTGTCTCTCAGAAAACTCAGTCAGGGCACTAAAATACTAGTTTTAAGAAATTTAAGAAAGCCATCAACAGTACCTTAAATGTTAACAGAAAATTACCTTTTTTTATTTCAGTACTGAAATTCAGTATCGTGATAAGTCTAATATCTTAAAGGAATCAGTTTACTAATTTGATCTTGATAAATAGCATTTAAAACGTGTGTTTGGGAAAGAAAACGTTAGATAACTAGTGCCATTTCCCTTAACTTAGCTGAAAATAAGGTCTGAGATCTCTTTTTATTTTCACTATTCATTCAGAACGGACCTTTGGGTCACTCGGAAGGCCATGAAATGATACATTTGTGTCACTTTCTCTTCACTAATAAGATATAAAGCCAGGTACACAATGTTCCTATCCGCTTGTTAAGTGGTCACGTGTTTGTGACGTATGTAATACTGTTTCCGGGGCCAAGCCGCCACTCATTTGAGTGGAGAAATCATTCATTTATGATCACGTTTTATTCCTATCACACATTAAAGTTAATTTTATATAAAATCATAGTGTACACAACAATCTCTGGGCTAGCTCCATAACAAATACCAAAAATTTAACAATTTATAAAAAAAATTAATCACTTTTTGGCCATCGGATGTTAGGCATGGACATATATACTGCTATCTTGATTTTCGAAAGCCTTAAATCGCTTTGTAAACATTTATTATTACCATTTCATGAGTCTCCCGATTCAGTTGAATAGAGCCCTTGGACCCGGAAGCTGCTTCGCGTGACGTCACACTTAACAAGCGGATATAACACCAAGCAATATTTCCGGGTTTCTTCCCACCACAGCCTCGATTTAGCTTTTTAAAATCACGTGAAATCAGTCTATAGTGAAATGTGTGTGTCACTCACTCAGGAAAGCAGTGTGCAGCACTGATGATCCAGCGGTCTGAAATGATGGATCCACCACACTGATGAACTCCATCATACTGTAAGCTGACCTGCCATGGCCACGAGCCCTGTCGAGCATCCACTCCCCCCACTATCCGCTCCTCAGGCAGCATTCGACGACCACAGTCTACAGAGCATCAACACATCAGGCATTTGTGGTACAGAAATATTCAATATGTTACAAACAATGACAACTTACCCTGACAGATCACCTCAAGAATCTGCCCTTTGTCACATTTACTGAAACAGAAATGAAACAGAATGAATCACAGAGCTGGGCAGGTGTTCAACTATCTGTGTTTTTTTTTTTTTTTGTCTGTCGAACAGCAATCTGACTTGCTGTTCATAGTGACTCACTAGCTGAAACCAAGTGAAATTACTGTATGTTGACTAACTCAATGGTGTGCGTTTGAGGCAGAACTATTTGTTTGTCTAAATATGATCATATGGATGAATTTATGACAATTATGATTTTTTTAAATTCATTTCATCATTTTCCTTCGGCTTTTCCCCTTATTTATTAGGGGTCGCCACAGCGGAATGAACTGCCAACTATTCCAGCATATGTTGTACGCAGCGGATGCCCTTTCAGCCACAACCCAGTACTGGGAAACACCCATACACTCTCACAATCATACACACATGTAAACTACGGCCAATTTAGCTCACCCAATTCACCTATACCGCATGTCTTTGGACTGTGAGGGAAACCGGAGCAACTGGAAGAAAAACCACGCTAACATGAGGAGAACATGCAAACTCCACACAGAAATGCCAACTGGCCCAACTGGGACTCGAACCAGTGACCTTCTTGCTGTGAGGCGACAGTGCTAACCACTGAGCCACCGTGCCACCCTTGAAAACTGAAAAACCAGAAAGAATGTGAAATAATATTGCTATTTAAAATAACGGTAACACTTTACAATAGATTTGTAGTAGTTAGTGTTAGGTAATGCATTTACTCACATGAAAATTGTTTTGAACATACAAATGTATTTTGAATACATTTATTACAGTATTTATTAATCTTTGCTAATGCTGATTCAAAGAAATTGTTGCATTGCTACTTCATGTTAACTCTAGCATTAATTTGTATTTTAATATGGCCTTAGTAAATGCTAAACTGTGGTTATTAATGTTGTACAGGAATTGTTTATTATTATAGTAGGTCATGCTAATATTCATGCATTCATTTTACTTTGGGTTAGTTCCTTTATACACACACACACACACACACACACACACACACACACACACACACACACACACACACACACACACACACACACACACACACACACAGTTGAAGTCAGAATTATTAGCCCTCCTTTGAATTATTAAATATTTCCCAAATTAAGTTTAACAGAGTAAGGACTCTTTACAGTATGTCTGATAATATTTTTTCTTCTGGAGAAAAGTCCTTTTGTTTTATTTTGGCTAGAATAAAAGCAGTTTTAATTTTTTTATTAACCATTTTAAAAGGTCAAAATTATTAGCCCCTTTAAGCTATATATTTTTTGACTGTCTTCAGAACAAACCATCGTTAAACAATAACTTGCCTAATTACCCTAACCTGACTAGTTAACCTAGTTAAGTCTTTAAATGCCACTTTGGGCTGTATTGAAAAATATCTAGTCAAATATTATTTACTGTCATCATGGCAAAGATAAAATAAATCAGTTATTAGAAATGAGTTATTAAAGCTATTATGTTTAGAGATGTGCTGAAAGAAATTTTCTCTTGATTAAACAGAAATTGGGGAGAAAAATAAACTGGGGGCTAATAACTCCGACTTCAACTCTATATATGTGCACTTCAAAATAAAAGTACAGAAACTGTCACAGGGTGTTCTCTTCCCAAGGGGTTCAAAGAGAACATTTATCAATATGGACTTTTTAGATACAAACGCGTACTATTTTAAAGGTACCGGTCCAGCTATGATAATAGACATGCACAATAATCAGCAGTTTGTTTTTTTTTTAATTTTTTTTTTATTTATTTATTTATTTTAAAGGAATAATAATTTTTGCAGCCATGCACATGCTTAGACAAATAATATGCCGGTGATTTGATGCTTTGCAAAAGTTGCAGACACCTTTACAGATATCAAAATGCTTTTTTGATGCAGAATTAATTTAAACAGCCAGTTATTATGCTGATGAAAGAAAATCCGCTCTAACTGTAAAACTAAATAAACTGCTAAATACTGTTGATACATGAAAGTGTAAAGCCTGCAGCCCACAACAAAGGTGGAAAGTTATTGTATATCATATTTAACAAACTACGAGTTTTATGCAACTTTGCCCACATGGATAATTGAATATTAATCAGATGATGTCATTACGCTGCTGTGCCGTCAGCCATTTTTTGCAATGCTGATCATGATTTTGAGGATCGACAGATCAGTTCTTCACAACACACGCAGAGATCTCAGATCAGTTCATCTTTTTATTTTGATAAGTGATTTTGTTTGAAGAACAATTAGCCAGAGATCAGTTATCAAGATTAAAAGATCCAGGATCTGCCAAATCATCTTAGATCATTGTAGCAAGGTACAAAGAACGGACCCCTTATTGCTGGGTTGTCAAATGATCGGCCTGCAAAATGGGTTTAACCCGGCCTGCAAGATAATTCTGTAAAGTATATTTATATATATTAAATATATATTAAAGTATATTTATATTATATAAAAAATTAGCTGCAATTTTTCAATGAAAGAAACTGCGATTCCAATTGTGTCCACTGGATGCAAGAACACAATAGCAATTTTAAACTGTTAATTTCATCCGATCCAGAAGACTAAATCAGCATCAGCTTGACAGCCTTCTCAGAGAAAAAGACACCATCTATGCCCTGCCATACCACGCTGAGGTGTTCTCACGAAAAAAACGTAACTATTTTACGTTTTGTCAGTGTAGTGGCTAATTTGTTCAGTCATACGAAAATGTACGATTTTAAAAAGGAGGCGTGGCATCCAACCACACCCCTAACCCAACCGTCATTGGTGGATAAGCAAATCGTACTAAATTGTACGAATGAGATCATCCAAATTCATAGGATTTAGCCACTAAATCAAAAAGTTACGAAATGCCATGATATTGTGTTTTCCTGAGGCTCCAGCTTTGTTTTATGTTGATTGTATTAAAGCAAAGAAAAAAAAAATCTGAAGTTGTTGCTTTTAGGTTATATTTACACCATGATTTTACTGGTCTGGCCCACTTGGGAACAGATTTTCCTCCATGTGGCCCCTGAGCTAAAATAAGTTTGATACCCCTGCCTTATTGTAAAGTGTTACCAAAATAACATATAATTATTAATTAATATATTTTAAAATTATGTTCATTATTTTAATGTCAAAGCTGAATTTTCAGAATCTTTACTCCAATTTTCAGTGTCACATGATATTTAAGAAATGATTTTAGTATACTGATATGACATGTATTTTTTGCTGTAGATGCTTAATACAGTCAAGTCCCAAATGATTCATACCTTTGGCAAAATCTGACTTTAAGTTACTTTTATTCAATGAGCAATTTATTTTATTTGACTGGAAACAACCAAGACTTTTTCCAAATGATAATAAGGCGATGTACAAGAGGCATCATTGTGGAAAAAAACTCTCAGATTTATTTACATCTGAACAAATAAAGTCAGAATTAGCCAGGGGTATGAATAATTTTGGGCTTGACTGTATGTATATATTATTTTCTTATTTACAAAACGGCGATGTCTTACCAAGGATAGAGGGCTGTTTTTATCTTCTTCCCATATGTTAACTCGCTCTCTTTTACACAGAAAAAATCTCGGTCCCCGCCACTCTCAGGAGCACACGTCACTGAGAAATTTACTGCTCTGAAAAGAAATAACATTACAAATGACTAATTTACCCTCAAATACAAATTCATATGTAGGTAAAACAATGATGAGCTTCACTCATTATTTTATCCAGACTGTCTCAAATGATTGCCAGTATATATGAGGCTTGTTACCTAACGAAGCCCATCTCCTCGCAGGTGATGTTGGCGATGAGCTGGTTGACACTGGATGAGCAAACATATTTCCACCTCCACTGTGTGGAGTCAAACACTCTCAGCCTCTGGTCTGCTGCACTCACCTGCACTGCAGGACACAATCAAGACTGTGAGCATCTTCATACTATTTTAATTTACCTTATGCATTTGCTATGATTTGTGGCAATACAATATGTACATATATAGTCGAAGTTAACATGATTAGCCCTCCTGTGAAATGTACTTTATCAAATATTCCTCAAGTGATGTTTAACAGAGCAAGGACATGTTTCACAGTACTGTCTGTAAAATATATATTCTGGAGAATGTCTGATTTCTTGAAGAAAAAAAAAAGTAGAATGATCTTATGTATTGTAATCATGGCAAAGACTAAATAAATTAGTAAAATTATTATGGTTAGAATTAGAAATGTGCTGAAAAAGTATTTTCTTAAGAAATATTTTTAAAGTGACTGAAAAACACTTAAGGAGGGTTAACACTTTTGACTTCAACTGTATGTACACATGCTGTAAATATCTAGAGTATATATGAAGAGTTTCTCTAAGTGCCACCTGAAATTGTCTTCTCAAATGACTATTTTTCAAGGCTCCTATGTGTAGGTCAAGTAATTTTATTTTTATTATGATAAATATGTTATTTTATTGCATTTTAAGTGAAACAACTAAGCATAAACAAAGGAGCTGGAGAAAAATGTTCATTTTAAAATAAGATTTCATACAGCATTTAGAGGTTTTTGCATATGAACTCTGCATATAAAGGAGAAAGTCTGATTCATTTCAGTTTGGCTGGAAGAAACAATTTTTTTGATAAAATGCTGCCATGTTCAATAATATTGGCCCTCTTATATTGACAAATAAAATCTCAGTTAAACAGCACTTGGGAAATATTTGAAAACAAAATATTTCACAAGAAGGCTAATAGTTTTATCTTCAAAGTAAATAGCCTATATACAGCATAGTATATGTATGTATATATATATATATATATATATATATATATATATATATATATATATATATATATATATATATATATATATATATATATATAAATTATGCATTAGTCCCAAAAGAAGTGGAAAAATATATATATATATATAATAAATAAAATATATATAATATAAAATATAATATATGATGACCATAAACATGTAAAGGAAAAATGGTGTATACAAAAACTTATGTTATTAATAAATTAAAAGAAATCAACAATCAATAAAACAATGTATTAAATCAACGAAAGCTGACTATGAAGCCATTTGTAATGTTACAAAAAATTTCTGTTGTAAATAAATGCAGATCTTTAAATAATTCTTAAGCATCACATCAGCTTTATAAGAATGATTTTTTTACTGTCTTAAATTATTAAACAAATTACTGTTTTAAAACAGTTAAAACCAGAAGTTTACATACACTCTTAAAAAAGGAACATAACCATTATATAAAAATGTCTGATGATAAATCATACTAAATGTTAACTATTTTAGGTCCATTACCTAAATGATTTACATTTGCTAAATGCCAGAATAATGAGATTACATACATTTCCTTGCTAATTTTTTAGCTTTCCTTTTAAACTGTATAACTTTGGTCAAATGTTTTGGGTATCCTTCCACAAGCTTCTCACAATAGTTTGAAGGAATTTGGGCCCATTCCTCCAAACAGAATTGGTGTAACTGAGTCAGATTTGTTGTCTTGCTTGCACAAGCTTTTTCAACTCTGCTTACACGTTTTTTATAGGATTGAATTCAGGGCTTTGTGATGGCCACTCCAAAACATTCACTCTGTTGTCCTTAAAGCACATTTTAACTAATTTGGCAGTATGCTTAGGGTCATGGTCTGGTTGGAAGACCCATTTGTGGCCAAGTTTTAATTTCCTGGCTTGAGATGTTGCTTCAGTATTTCTACATAATGTTCTTTCTTCATGACACCATCTATGCTGTGAAGTGGACCCTCCTGCATCAAAACAGCCCCACAACATGATGCTGCCGCCCCAATACTTCACAGTTGGGATGGTGTTCCTAGGCTTGTAAGCTTTCCCCTTTGTCCTCCAAATGTAACACTGGTCATTATGGTAAAACAGTTCAATCTTAGTTCCATCAGGACATGTCTCCAACAATTATTCTTTTCCCAGTGTAATTTAGCAAACTGTAATCCGGCTTCTTTGTTGATTCTGGCTTGTTGATTTTCCCATGTTGTCACACAAGGAAGTAGTGTGTTTGAGGCTTTCCTTAAATACTGTTCTACAGTTGTGCCTCTGATTATCTCAAATGTTGTCAATTAGCCAATCAGAAACTTCCAAAATCTTGACATCATCATCTGAGCTTTTTTACAGGCATATTAATCTTATTGTATGTAAACTTGACTTTCAAGAAAAGTTATAACAATTTCCCAACTAATATCACTCATTATTTTGCTATTAAGCATAACAGAAACAAATGTGATAATCCTAACTTACCTAAAAGAGAAAAAGTTTAGTCTGATTAACATCTGACTTTTTTTCAAATGGTTATGTGCCTTTTTATACAGTGTATGTAAACTTCTGGTTTCAACTGTAAATACAGTGTTCATAAATATAAAAGTATTTTTTGCAAAACCATAATTTAATATTTTTAAAAAATAATTTAAAATGTACTGTGCCTACCATCAAATAATCCTGTATCCTCTGTTGTTCTAAGGTACGTGACTGAAACACAAACAAACAAGTGTAATAAGTCTCAAAAGTGACAGCAGTATTCTGCTAAATCAGCAGATATAACAAGCAAACCGGTCTCACCGAGGGCCCAGATGGCGGCTCCCAGCCCTCCCAGAATAATCAAGATCAGAGAAACTGCAGCGACCACCCGGCATGGACTGAAGATGCTCATGCCTGGACGTCCTGAAGGACATAAACCAAACAGGGCTTTCAGTATGGGGACAAAGCATGCCTTTAAACCGGTAAAGTGAGATTTAGTGAACCTTAAAATACATGCCTGTGAGCTAAACACATAAACCATGACAGGCTGATGAAAAGAACAGAACCATGAACAAGATCAATAGTCCAAAGTCATCAATTGCTCTCTGCTAAAGTAAACGCGAGACTA